TTTTCCCAATTTCATTTTACAGTATATGCTAAAGCTTTTCTCATTATATTTTTTGAAGTGATTGTAGTGTATACATGGTGGCTTTTGCGGAATATGTCAGCCTTGGAAGCCTGTTGATCAACACAGTAGACGCTATCGAGCGCTCCTTTGGGATTATGCTAAAAAGAAGCACGAGCTTGGTGCAATTAATGGAAGTGAGGTTACTGGAAAATTAGCAAGAAGAAAAGGTGCACCAGTTGTGAGGGAGCGAACAAGAGTCCAGAACAGAAGAAATTAGCTAGCTAATCCAGCAGCTAAATTTTGGGGAATGTGTTTAGTTGCAACTGAATTGTATTAAAGTTGTTTTGCCTGTGTTTGTTCTTTTGGCCAGATTTCTCCTAGTTACATATCAACACATCTGTAGAATATTTTTTGTTGAAAGTTGTTAGTACTTGATTTCCTTATTGATACTATATAATATCCTTTGTATTTAATTTTTTTGTTGTCTTTTTTCTAGCATATTAGATCTTACATAACATAATTTGTGAACAAATATTAGTCTAAATGTATGTCTCAAATGTTTAGCTTTACCGTTAAAGTATATTTTAAGTAAAGATACAATACTACTGTTAGCTAACATGTTGTAATATCAATAAACAATTTCTCTATACAATAAATACAATTTTGCCTATGACTAATATACATTAGTACAATATCTATTAAAATTTGGCAATCTTTTAAAATAAAGCTTTAAATTAATAAATAAATATAGTTATTAATGCAAAACTAATTACAAACTAATGGCATTAAGAGTAAAAATTTGTATATCAAACAACCATCTGAGGAGACAAATTTTATTCAAATTAGCCCTGCAAATTATAGAGCAACTAATATGTCCAGAAGAGAACAAATACAACTGCATATGTCTTAAAGATCAGCTTATTTCATCAATAGTACTCAATAAAAAAAATTCCTTAAACTTCAACAATTCTTGTTTCCTTTTTGGAGCATTCCTACAAGATTCTTGTCCATAGTTGCCACATAAAACCTTGTACTTTTTTGTATTTATTTCATCATATGATTTGTATCTTTATTTTTGAGGTCTCCCTGCCTGTCTTTTTTCAATACGTGGCAGGATAACTTCTTCTGCTATATGTTGTGGCACATCCCATTTGCTTTCATCCGGTAGAGGATCCACTGGTATTTCATAAGTCAGCAGAAGGCTCTCCCTCGTGTAATAAGGAGATAAGTAGTTTTCATAAGACTCATTTCTGTGCCTAAAATCCGCCAAAACATGTGGACAAGGAAGCTCATCAAGCTGGAATTGTCTATAACTACATTTCCTGTTTTGAAGACAAATAATGAAGCGTTTGACACCATCTATCACAGTATATGTAATCTTTTGAAGCCCTCACCCACAATTTTATTACAAACATCGCTAAATTATCAACAGTTACAAATAACAAAATAACTAAAATTATACAACAACATATATACAAGTATCAGTATATATTTAGTTTACTGATATCAATGATCTCATTATATGGACCATAACTTACTCTTATCTTATGCGATAAAGTCATGTTGTCCTCCAAATATTTGTTGTATTTTTCCCAAGGTATGTAAAAGTACCCTTTGCATTCAATAATTTTCATTAGTCGACCGTTCAAGGAGTGTCCTCATGTACTCTAGTAGCTTAACTACAGGCAGCTCACTTGCATATTTGGTTACTGCATTCAAGGACACTGCAATATTTGATGTCATCGTCCATGTTCTGTTCACTGTTGCATGTACCCGAGATCATTTGTGATAACCACTATCGTATATGTATTCTTTTACACGCGTGTCGATTGATGATAGGCTATAATTACCTATTTTAGTCGGTTATTACATTCCAATTTACTGCATTTTAATTGAGTTTGAGCTTTAATCGCGAGTGTTTTGCACTAATAGTGTGTTTTATGCCTTGAAGGAGTGATTCCGAGCTATAAAGATGTTATGGAATGAATTCTAGTGATTTGGAGCTTTGAAGTCTGAGTAAAAGCCCAACGAATTAAGCCGGGATCGTGTTCGGGAGTCAAATTTGATAGTTAAGAACAAACGAAGACTCAAGTAGGCATATTGCGCACTGTCTAGTAAAATACACATAACTTTTTGCTCAGAACACCATTTAGGCTCCACAATATATGGTTGGAAAGCTAACTCAAAGGGCTACAACATTCATATTTTACATTTTTCCAAATTCAAACGGAACAGGGTGAAAAACGCGGTCGAAAATGCGACCGCGGACCTGGACGCAGACTGAGGCAGTGCACTGGGAAAATACCGCGCCCGGACTGCGACCGCGAGCGTCCAAACCTAAAAAATTATCCTTTTTCGCGTAGGAGAAGGTATAATTGTTTGGTCCCGACCCTACTTGGTATATATAAATGGAAAAAAGGTATTTTAACAAGTTGGACTTTGACACAGATTCGACCTAAGGAGGCAGAGACACAATAGGAGCAAGGTGGGGAATTCTTCTATGAGTTTTTCCTTCCTCCTCCTATTTTTTCATTGTTGGTTATAACTTTTAGTATTGTAGTTTCTATCTCTTTAATCTTTGACATTCTTTCATAAAATTAATCAAGAGTGTATGATCATCCCGTGGTAAAGTACAATTCACTTAACTTTAGATGACCTTTCTTGAACTTTATCCTTATATTTGTCTAAATATGCCACATGCAAGAATAATGTGGGATGCCGGTATAAATAGTTATTGTTGCCTTCAATATACTCTCATTCCGGTCCGAAACAACATACATATTTGATTTTTTACCATATGAATATTTAAATTGCTCAAAACACTATTTCCATGATGCGTCATTTTATGAATCAATATCGGTGTATGCAAGTAGTAATATGCTACCTATCACATGACATTACAAAAATTAATTAAGTAATAAACTTGAAAACATCAAAATTTATTTTCAGAAACAACTTGAATACAATAATCTTCCAATTAATCTACATATATTAAATAGAATACTAACTGAGATTAAGAATTACCTGATGTATTCATTGTGCTAGTTGTTAGCATGATGCTCCTATATGCTGATTTCAAGATGGTGCCATCGACTACTACAACTGGCCTATAATGTTTCCAACCCCTGATGGATGTATTAAGAGCAACAAATGCATATCAGAAACATTCATCTTTAGCCTTTTGCAATTTTATTACCGGCCACGGATACTTCTCCAAAATATACAAGTAACTCAGTAGACGACTATATGATTCAGCACGATGACCTCTCAAAAATTGCAGAGCCTTTTCCTTTGCTCTCCGAGCTTGCATGTACGTTAAGTTCACACCATGTTCCGACAACATATCTGTTTGTATTTCTTTTGGTGTGTATATTGTCTTAGGATCTGCATATTTTGGCATGACCATGTTGCCAACTACCATGGCAGTAGTTTTGTGTTGTATATATGTATTGTCCATCAATGAGCATGTGTGCAAGCTATTGAATTTTCTAACCTTGAACAATGATGATCCGTTTATGCTTGTGGACTTAAAATGCCACGTACAGTTGTCACCAATACATACGAGGCAGTAGCTACAGAATTAAAACAATGATAATGTTATGGAATATTTTGACATGAAGACAACAGGTTGAGATGTACAACAAAATGTTTTAAGCAAATTATATACAATTTTTATACATAAAAATTACAATTTATAAATAATATGCTATTGACAGATAAATTGTTGCTCAAATGCTTTTTAAATTAACTGGCCGAACACAAACTCTTTTCCTCCAAAAGTACTTTTTCGAAAAGCACTTTTGAAAAAAATACTTCCAAAATAAGCTATTTTTTCGGCTTAACCAAATCAGGTATAAGAGACTGTATGTACATTGATGTACTGGATGATGAGTAAAGAGCCTTGGTCGTTTGGTAGGGTGCAGAAGAATAATGCTGAATATGGTGTATTAGTAATGCTGGTTTTAGTGATGTTGACATTAGCTGTGCTGACATATTTCTTATCCATTGTTTGATTTGATGTATTGAAGCATTACATAATTTCTAAAATAATTGTCTGTTTACAAAAATACCCTCATAACCAGTTCATCACTTTATCTTTTAAAAAGAAAGAGGAATGTTTTTTTATGAAAAAGGTGTAAAAAAATTATTTGATTTGTCTACCTATATTGTAGTATAGAACTGAATATTTATATATAAAAAAAGAAATATACTAAGTATTTATTTATTTACTAGGCATATAATCTTATTTTCTACTTTCTTGGATTATTTCAAACTTGCATTAATATAATAGCATATTTTAGTCAAGCATAAATTCTAAAGGACAATTTATCTTTAACTAAGCTAATGCATGCATTAAAACCCATTGCATTGTTAATACCATAGTTTTCTATGCATTAGTTATGCATAAGATAATACCAAAACTGGGTGTATAACTAATGCTTGCATAACTAATGCATATGTTCAAAAAGTATACCAAACAAATATTATAATATACAAGTGCATCCTACCGAATAACCCCTTAAAGATGTACTATGTTTTAAAACCTCATTAACTCTTGATCCTTGAAAGTGTCCTTTTAACCCACAAAAGGAAAAACTCGACCTTTTTTCTCTTTAAAAAGACTTAAAGTACGTTCTACCATTTTTTTTAGTGGAATAGAGATGCTCCTTTATAAAAGTATAAAATTGAGTGGTATAGTGATAGCCTGGTTGGTCAAGCTTTTTTCTTGGCCAAAAGTATTTTTTTGTTAAAAGTGCTTTTTTCTGCAAAGTTAATGTGTTTGGCCAAGCTTTTTGAAGGAAAAAAGTGCTTTTGAGTAAAAGCACAAACAGTTTTTGAGAAGCAGAAAAAAGTAGCTTACTTTTGAGAAAAATAAACTTAGAGACACCTTTTAACAGCTTGGCCAAACACTAATTGTTGCTTAAAAATACTTTTCAAATTAATTTACGAAACACACAGTGCTTCTCACCAAAAAAAAGTATTTTTTTAAAAACACTTTTCACTTCTCATGCAGATTTTTCCAGCTTGCCCATCCCTCACCTTTACTCTCTTAATTGACGAATCAAGCAGCAACCGCATCAGTCAAAAGAGACTGGAGTGAAGACGATGCAGCAGCAAAGGCAAAGGCAAAGGCCATGGGATAACCTACCAAGCACAGCTCTTGTCACAATATTCTCCAAATCCTCTCTCAAAGATCGTCTCTGCAATCTCCCCTTTGTCTGCAAATCATGGTCTAACTCCTCTCGCCATCCTCACTGTTGGGCCTCCTTCATTCCCGACTCTTACTACTCATTTCCTCCGCCGCCGTCGCTGTCTTCCTCTGGTGCTGCTGTCGATGCCTTCGTTAAATCTTCCTTCCCTTATGACGCAGCTTTTTTGGACCCTTTTGATGGTAGACGCAGCAGCGATCCTCAATCTGGAGTTCTTGGCCTTCAATCTCTCATCGCTAAAGCTGATGGTGGAGCCGCCGTGATCTCTGTCTATTTCTTCCCTTTTCTCACTTCTCTTGATGGCCCTCCCAATGATGACGCCCTTCTTTCCCTCATCGCTCGATCGTAAGCCCTCTTTTTTTCATTTTAAATTATCTGCCTAAACTAATTGTTTCAGTTATTTATATATAAAGAGTTATTCAAATATTTGGCATTTTATTCACTCATTCTAACAGGTCCAAATTCACGTAGTAATTCATGTTCTGCTCTAATATCATGTTGTTATGTATGAATCGACTCAACTAAAAAGCTTAAATTGATCGAGATAGTGCATTTTATATTTATTTATTTTAAGTAGGATAAAGGTACAAATTTATACCTCTTCTTTACAAAAATAATTTTAATCTTTGCCAGCCCTTTTATTTTGGAGGCATTCCTGCGTTAGCAAATTGTCCCTGGACTTTAACTAGCTCCATCTTGAACAGTGTGGATAGCACGCTTCGAAATGCTTTCGGTAAATGTCCAAAATTATACATCTACTTTGACTATAATTTAAAACTAACACCTTATAATTCAGGTTGGAATTACTTTACGGTCCAGGGCCTAATGAAAAAGGTATGAATGACCTCCAAAGTCTAATGAAGGATAAAACAAGGATACATAAAATAGATGGTTGCCGAAGGTCTATTGGAAACAACCTCTTTACCTTTATAGGGCAGGAGTAATGCTGCGTACACACTACCCTCCCCATACCCCACGTATGGGATTAAGCTGGGTTTGTTGTTGTTGTTGTTGTTGTTGTACATAAAATAGATGGCTATTTTTGGTCCATTTCCCTTTAAGTATGCAACACATCTCCTCACACTGATCCAATTTTCCTTCTTGAACCAAACACACGGAAAATTGTTGATGGGTGGCGAGACTTTTCAAGAACCTATTACCTGCTTTTGATAACTTGTTGTAACGTGTAATGTGAACCACTTCAACTAAAAACTTAAACAGAGATGTCTGCAACATTTTACTCTTGCATTTGCTGGATTTGCTCAATCCACAAGACTTTTAATGTCTCTCTTATTTTTTCATAGATGTCCAAATTTGAAACACCTATCATTTCATGGATCCTTCAATGCCTCTGAAGAAGTCTTATTGGAAGTTGTACGTAGCTGTCCCTGTCTGGAACTTGTCGACTTCTCTGATTCACCATACATGATCCCCTTGATTTTAGAAAAGATGGGGATCCACTGTCCTAATATCAGAGGCATTAGACGAAATGGAATTCTGCAACCTTTTTTCTCATTCAGCCTCGTTAAATGCTTCCCAAGTTTGAAGCTTTTAAACCTTTCTGATTCAAGCATTGGGGACAAAGATCTGCTGACCCTTGTTACTGGTGATTCAAGACTTGAGTATTTGGATATTATGCGCTGCCAAAGGTTGGTACGCTACATGTACCTAATTAAGGGAGCTCATCGTCGAATTGCTGAAATTCGCTATGATTGAGTCGCTGGTCATTTTGATGGTTCTCCAATTGTGCTGATACATAGCTCATTTTGCTCAGATAAGTTATATGGCTATCATTCTGCATGACAGTATGATTTTTGTTTTATGTACACTTTCTGCCAACTGCCAAATTATCTACATTTGGGAAAAGGTTTATGTTGAAGATTGTATTGTAAGAAGCTTGTGTTTTACTTTTTATATAAGCCTAAAAAAGAACAGCGTTTAAGTTCAAACAGAAAAGACAACTAGTTGCAGTTCTTAAAACATCCTATTACAGAGAGATATCTACTGTAGCAACAAAATGTTTAAATATTCTAAAATTACACTAATGATAGATTCTAGCAACCTGGAAATAGAAAGTGTGAGTTTGCTGCTGTCTTAAATATTAGCATGGTCTAGTGTTATTGTTGATTCCCTAGAAGAACCAATAAGATAGGTGGATCCATTTCAAGAGATTCGTGCTGGTTACCTTACTTCCGGTATCCTATGCCAGTTTCTGTGACCAGACTTGAATGTATAAAGAGATTTACATTCTTTGCACTTGTCAATCTGCTCATCAGCAAACAAGTTGGTGTTCATGTATGTAAGGTCGTACTGTTTACAAATAGATTCTTGCCTTGCACTTCACACATTTTGCACGAGCAATCATAGAACATGAATGTGAGGAGCTGGATGAACTCTTGATGAAGCCAGTGGAGAGTTGAACATGCTGGCTTCAGATATGCTGTATATCCCTTTTATTTTAAGTTTTTATGTCAACTCTGTCTCAAGCTTCCGACACTGAAACCTGCTGAAGCTTGAGGTTGAAATAAGTTTTGCAGAGGCAAGAGTACATTTGCAATGTGTTTCTGATTTGGACAAAAGTGATGGAGTCTTTTGTGGATCAGTTACTTCAATATTTTCTTAGAGGGTTCCTATTGTGTGTTTTGGCTTATTTTACACCAGTTTCGTGGTTCATAAATTGGGAAACTGATTAAAATGGTTCCTTATGTATAGGGATTGGACTATTTTAGTCCTTGATATATGTTACTTAAAATAATTAGTCCTTGATGTAAAAGCAGACAATTTTGGCTCTCAACCATAAAATTGACCGTTCCCCTCAAATCATCTGTTAAAATTACCAGGGTAAACAGTAAAAGAGAACTCTTTATGCTTGTGCAATCCCAATTGCCTCCAAACAACCTCGTTCACAGATTTATGAGTGAGGAATACATGTACGATAATTCATGGATGACTCATCCCCTCTTCTAAGAAGCAACTGTAAGGATTTCAGCTCTTATAGATTTACCTCTGGCATCTCTGAAATGAATTCCATTTCCTACTCTTAAGGCGAGGGTTGGCTGAATAAGAAAAGTGTTGGACACATCTTCTTTTTACAACTAAAAAAGATGTAAAAATTGGAGTCCCTGCCTAAAGAAATGAGCAGACACAGAAGGAACTATCAAAGATCTTTAAGTTATTAAGCATTTAATGATGTAAACTTAGAATAGCTTGCTGAACTGGTCTCTTAGGCCATGATCATTGTTCCTGTGTGCGAAGAAGCGAAGGGCGAGTTTAAGATAAGAGCCATGTGTGACCGAGAGAAAAAAAACACAGAAGAGATTGAGAGAGAAGCACATATAGCCAGCCACTCTGCATCCGTCCAAACGCCCTACAGTAGAGAAACATCAAATGCCTCATCTTCTACTATTTTTTTTCAGCAAAAGAGTTCATCTAAAAAGCACACTGACTCATCCTGTTAGTTTAACGGATTCTGCGACTTCTTCCATTAATTTTAGGGTTTAGGACCAATAATGTCCACCTTTTGTATATATTACAGACTATTTCTTTAGGTGATATATATCGAGGACTAGAATAGTCCAACCTCCATACATTAAGGACCATTTTGATCATTTTCTTTCATAAATCACGTGTATTTCCTGTGCCAGTAAACAACAAAACAAAAGAGACCTGTTATGAGAAATCATAACAGCTGGTAGTAATTTAGCTGGTGTAACTAAGATAGCAATAGCGGATAAAAAAAATATATAGTTGACGAAAACAATATTCACTAAAGAGGAACGTGTGTTCAGTTACACTACAATGAGAGAAAGCGCATTCCAAGTGATTCTGCAAGAAGTGGCAAAATATCTTCTTGCAAAATTGTCAGCCTATGGGATGTTCTAATAGGGTTCTCATCTTTGGCTTTTCATCCCACACAAAAGTTATATTCTACTGCTGTTGTTACTGTCTTGAGATGAGAGGAATTGTCTTTATCATTGCACTGGGAATAATGGCTATCAACTGCACACACGGAAAACACAAAATTCACCCAGCTATCCGATAAATAGGCTTAGAAACTAGAAGATCGCAGCCAGTTTTTGGGTTGTTAAATAGCTCTCGATCTGGAACATCCCCACTCACTAAGTAATTTTCACATTGAAATCATCGGCTTGTTTATAAATGTACTTACCCAAGCAAGGCCAATGCACAGGATGCTAAAGCCAGGGTATGGAAAAGGAGCTTTCTCTGAAAGGAACAAGGCTGGAAAACCAAATGGTAAGTGTTAGGTTCATATGGAGAGAGAAAATATTTTGCTATAGTGCACATAGCACTTTGATTTACCTGTTAGAGGACTATACATTAAGGGGGAGAGAATATTAGCTACGGAACTTATACTTGAAATACAACCTTGAGCAATTCCCTAGTAGGAGAACAAGAAACATTGATACTTGTCAGAATGCATTTTTACTAAAATTTGATGTCAGCTTCGCGTATATCCACCCATTAATTAGTCTAATTCTCAGATTACTGCAACTAGTACCTGTTCATTAGGCCCAATTTGTTTTGAGACAATGCTTTGAAGCTACACATTACAAAACATCCATCAACCATCATAGGTAGAGGAAAGAAAACGACAAAGTGAATGTACGCCTGAAAAACTCACAGAGGGTTTCACAAGGGAGGTGAAAATAGGCAGCAATGCAGCAGTATAAGGGATCTGAAAATCATGCCATTATGAAGTCAACATGCTTGAAGCATGAATCCACAAATAGAAAATTGGAGCACAATGTTTGAACGCTTACCCAAATTGACCGTGCTATACTGTCAATAAGCAGCTGCAGAATTAGGTAAAAACAGACTGAAAATTAGTCTTTGCCCTCCTCTAAAGGAGGGCGGATCAAATCTATGCCTATGTGCTTAGTGTATAGAGGAGGGCGGATCAAATCTATGCCTATGTGCTTAGTGTATTCCATAGTAGGCATTGGATCATGAGGGTGACTTGAACACAAAATTCCTGAAAAAATACGTGTTAAGTGTTCACATACGTTTGTAAATCCAGCAGTCAGTCCTAAGCATAGCAGAACCTCCTCTCCTACAAGAGGAGCCAACATAGGCATGAGGAGCAACTGCATGATTTTGCGAACTTCCAAAAGTTAATACACAAAATATAACCATCTGAAGCTTAGAAAGAAATAAGTGACAAAAAAAAAACTAGCACCAAAACTTAATGGTATATAAACAATAATAATAAAAAAAATTAACGAAAAATACCTGAGAACTTGCAGAGCAAATGTTGGCTATAAGCATCACATCAGCAAAGTTATCTTTCTTGAAGTGAAATCGAGCCTTTAAGAAGTACTGCAGGGAACAATTAAAGACGCTATCATATGATTGAAAGAAGTTAGAGCGGCCTTCCAGAAGCTCCATTTGCTGATGAAGCTTCATGTTATCATGTACCCAAGCTTATCTCGAGATGAACCAGTTTTCAACATGTCAAAGTTTCAAGGACTTATTTTATTCTGAATATATGAAATGCTTATACCTTCCCTTTCATCAATGAATGACCAACTTACACTTAAGAAAGTAAAAAAGAAAAAATACCTGAAATGGAGCTTGTTCTCCACCTTCTGCAAGACTATTCAAGAAAGCAACAGATGCTGCAAGTGAAAAAGTAGCACTGCAACAAGACAGCCAACAATTGCCATCATATTTCTTCACACGGTTCTATGCTTTAATGAATGATGGCAAAGTTAACTGAAAACAGACTAAGCCAAAAGGAAAACATTTTTTTTACAGAGTACTCGCAAATATATCCTAATGCAGATAACACAGAAGATGGAAGCTAAAATGGAATGGTACTCCATTTAGTGCAAGATCTTTAGTTCTTGCAGAAACTCAGTCTCCATATCAAACCTGCTCCTTAGGGAGGAAGGACAGGGGAGATCTGGGTTGAATATATGACTGTAGCTGAGGATTTTTTTAGCTGCATACGTCTCTTAACACTTAATATTTAGCTAGATGACTCGACACCTAATAGTGCTTCTATTGACAGAAGAAATGATGATATAATCGCGTACTATCTTACCTCTTCTTAAGAAAGCAAATAATATCCTTCAGGGATGGAACTTTCTTGAACACCTTTACATTCTTTGCTGTCTCGCAATCCAATTCATCATTTTCCATTTCACTTTTCAAAATTGGCTGCTCAATAGAATCTTCAAAGCAAGCTGTATCCTCTAAAAAAATTTGCATGTATACAGCAGCAACTGTTGATGCAATTGCTGCTACCTTTATCAATAAAGAGCAGCATAAGGTCAGACTAACCACAACTAGATTCCCAGAACACAACCAAGCTAAAAACGAGTATTTTAAAATTTTAGAGAAGGACCAGAAATATCTGAGAAGTGGAGAGAAAGTGATCAGTTAAAGTTCCACAGACAAATGCAGCAGATCCAACACCAGCCAAAATTCCAATAGCAGAGGCACGCTTTGCTCGTGACATATTGTCTGCCTGAAAGGGCAGAAACAAAAGATTGAGACAAAGTCTTCATCGTAACATTGTCAGCTAAGAAAATGTCACGTGGGTAAAGTAGAAAACTTAGGTACATATTAGTTTCCATGACATATAATGTACTTGATTTTGTCCGGTTATTTTTTACTGCGACCTACTACAATCTGGCTGATTTAACTCATTTTTATCTGCTAAGTCGTAGAGATCGTTGGATACACTAAATAATGAATTCTTCAGGCAGGCCTTTTTAGAGACTTGATTCAATGGTAATATCCATTTCAAGATAAAATGTCATAAATCAACCTCTAATGGACTTGCCTTAATTCAAGGTTCACCAAGGGAAAAAAGTAGATTATTATATGAGGCAAGTTGACTGAAAAAAAAGCGAAATAGAATGTAGTGAACAAAATAATTACCACATAAGCAAGGGCCACACACTGAATACCACCATCACATATCATGCCAGTGAGCGTCCGGAGCACATAATACACATAGTAAAAGTTCTTGGTCCTCCTATATGCCAATATGACTGCCAATTGTGACTTCAGTTAGTATTTGTAATTTAGTACTATAAAGAAACTGCTGCAGAAACAGCAGGAATGACGTATTGAAGTAGAACCTGGGGGAATGATGGACAGAGTAACGGGGATTGTGAGCATAGCTTTCCTTCCATAGATATCAGACAAATTCCCAATTATTGGCATCATTAACACTAAACCAATTCCTATCATCTGCATGTACAAGGTCAAATGGAGAAAGTCACCACATCAGATATCAACACCATAGCAAAAACACCATATCACTAGAGATGATCCTCCAACAAAACACCAAACCAGCTGGGTTAGGGCCTCCAAATTGAGCCAGAATAAGATAAATGACACAGAACAGGACTTGAAGTTTCCTCATTCAATTTTTACTGCTCTTAATATTTTAATTTTCGTCTTAAGGTATAAATGCAAATAGTGGATGACTACGCCAGGAGGGAAGTTCTAAGTCAGGAAAACAGATAGGTTTTTCTCTTTATTTCCCCAAAAGTTAGATAACTAGTCAGAAGAAGTAATTTGCTACCACGTCCGTCCCTCCCCCCCCCCCCCCCCCCCCCCCAAACCCCTAAAAAAAAAAGAAGGTAAAAAAAAAAAAAAATCCAACCCTTGAAAAAGGGTAAATTGACTATCAAATTCTAACAAGAATTATTAACTCGGAGAAAGGGTAAGCTAAATTTGAAAGTTTCGAACAAAGAAGCTGATTACTGGAAACCTAATTTCTTTTTAGTAAGATTTGCAAGATTTTCCATGAACACCATAAAGAAAGCATTTTCAACTGTGTAAGAAAGTCTTAGAATGCTAACAGTTCAATAAGTACATGGAAAACAACTAATAACATATAGTTCCAAAATATTACTCTCTATCTTTTATTTTATTTTTATATATATCGGTGTTTGACTGGGTACAATATTTCCGAAAAAAATTCTCGTTAAACTTATGATCTTAAACATGCCATGATATTTATCTTGCTATATGAAGTTTAAACTTGATGACATTCTAAATACAAATGGTATCAATCTTTTTGGAATATATCCCCTCCTCCCCCCACCCCCACCCCACCCCAAGAAAGAGAAAAAAGAAAAAAAAAGAATGACATATAAAACATAGTAGGAGTAATAGATAGAGTACTTTCTTTATCGTATTTTGTTTGATGATCATAATGTTTACACATTAGATAAGTGATAAACACAAACTATTCTTTTCTAGCTTTGTGTGACACTCTTTTATAATCTGTATAGAAAAGAATAGCATATTCTCTATTTAGAAACCATCTAGAATTACCATTCCCATTTTACTCTTACTAAAATAACTTGTTTGGATTCACTTTGATCATATAAAATTTCATTCTTTACTAAGAGAGAAAAAAAGATATTTGTAACTCCACCACACATTTAATTGTTGAATGTAATTGGAGCAATTTTGATACTTTTTGTATTTAGCTTATGTATTGAAAGTTCCATTTATTTTTTAAATTTTGTGTCCAGTCATATAATAGTTGGAATAATAGTTGAATTTAGTTTGATAGAAAAATTCCACTTGAAAGTTTTACATGGGATAGTTAAATGAATTTGAATGCTTAAAGATTAATCTGGACAGGTGGACTTTTGTTTAAGAAAAGATTAATCTGGAAAGTTATTAGAGAAAGCGTAAAAAATTTGAAAGTTTCAACAAGAAAATAGTTTACATAAAATAGAAGTACGTACATGAAATTTTAAAGCAAAAAAGGTTATGAAAAGTGTTCACCAGAAAGGGAAAAAAATTTATATTATGCCAAAAAGTAAGAAAAAAATATCCAATTTTCCTCTCATGCTCTATAAAATCAGTTACTAATAGTTTGGCGATTACGTAATTGAATATCGAAACTACCATAGAACCATTCACATTAAGTGCGGCAAAACGCTTAACGGATATCTAAAAGTTTGCCACGCACATCCACGTGTAACTTTCATGCAAACCAACAGTTTATCCTTTTTTTTTTCTTTTCTTTTTACGACTCAAAATCGTTCTTTATTTTTCAGCATTTTAAAACAAACAGAAGTCTCATGAATGCGTCACACATATGGATAGACATACATTCTCATGACCTGATCCGCCATGATGCACTTATGTCTATAATGATAAATTAAGGAAAATAAATAATATTGTTTCATATTAGATGAGGTATTTTAACTCGGTACGGAGTTTAAGAAAAAAAAAGACAACTTTTGAAACTTGTGGTCTTAGAAGCTTAAGGGGTAAAAGGTTTGTGGGGCAATGTCATTTGTGTGGCTATAAAAGCTTCTCATTTAGGGTAAATGGGTAAAATAAAGAGTTTAAAGTTGAATTATTTCCAAATTTAGAAATGTGTCATTTGTTTTGGAATAGATTAAAAAGAAAAGTACCTCATATAATATGGAAGGGAGGGAGTATATGGTAGTATCAGTTTCGGAATTGATTGGCGACATGAATAATCTAGTGCTCTTACAAAAAAACACTCCACTCCCACGCCAAAAGAAAACAGTACATGGATATTGTTTCGCACTTAGCCCTCTTTTCTATTGTTTTGGCATCTGATATTTGAAATTAATTGCTCTACACTAATTTGGATTCGTCTCGAGTAGATTTAAAGGGGTAAAAGACTTCCTATCAAAAATTTTATTTCAGGGTTTAAACTATAAATTTGGGGGGGATCGTAAATTTGAAAAGGTAAAATGAAATAACAAGGAATAAACTTTTAAAGGAATCTAGGACATGATTTATGAAGAGTAGTTCACCAAACATAAGACTTGAGTAAACGGTCATCACCCTAAATAGTCATGTAAATTAATACTAGTAGCAGTAACTCAAATGGCTACGAGAGAGATATATACTACTCCTAGTTAAAGTAGCGGAATATGTAGAATGATAATCAAGGATGTAAAGAGTAGAGACAGACCGCTTGTTGGAAACCAGAGAGGTAAATGGCGAGAGAACACTGGTCTTGACCAGGGCACAGTGCCATCATTGTTACATCAGGCATGGCCGGAGTTACCAGGAACGTCGCCAACTGCGACATAAATACCGTCACAAACAGGTGCTTCAAACTTCCCAACTTATCCATCTTTCTGTATTTCTCCGTTCTAATTTACTAAGCTTCTGTTTTGTGATTTGTTCTCTCGAGCTGGACTTATGGGAATACGTGAATGAAGATATAGTAAATAATGTAAAGGGTAATGGGGCAGGGCGGTGGACACTTGTTCAGCAGCCACAAGGTGACCAACTCATCAATTCTTAGTCCTTCTGGTTTGGTGTGACGATGCAACCGTTATATCAATTCTTGAATTTATTAAGGTACGTATCTTTTACTTTTTAGGGAGTATTATTTTTCTTTTTGTTTATTAAGGACCTAGTACTAGTTTGATTTCCCAGCCAAACACAAAGGTGACCAAAGGAAAAATTTTGGTATTGAAATAAAACAATAAAGAAAAGAAGAATATTGCAAAGACAAAGAGAGAGAATTTTATTGATTTTTGAGATAATTTACAATGGATCGGATAAATTAAGCCCCTTTATTTATAGGGGAAAAGTGACTTAGCCACGAAGTAACAAGCTCTCCCTAAAAGATTCACATTCACCTTAAATACAATTCTATTTATGACACTCCCCCTTGAATGTTTATTCAATAGATAATGTGTCTCATTAAAACATTAACTAAAATAAAACCCAGTGGGAAAAAATTCTAGTGAAGGAAAGAGTACATATGTTTAGAAATATGCCCTTTAGTTGCCTCGTTAAAAATCTTGCAAGGAAAATCTAGTGGGACAAAATTTTGTAAGGGAAAAAGAGTACAACGCGTATTAACTCCCACTGATGGGAGCATCAATTCACATCCTTAAGCCTTTGCATCCCAATCTTGTACACTAGCTTCTTGAAGGTTGACGTCGGTAGAGATTTGGTGAACAAATCAGCCATATTATCACTTGAACGAATCTGTTGCACATTGGTATCACCATTCTTTTGAAGATCATGTGTGAAAAATAACTTTGGTGAAATGTGCTTTGTCCTATCTCTTTTTATGAATCCTCCCTTCAAATGGGCTATGCATGCTGCATTGACTTCATACAAAATCGTGGGTAGTTTGTCACACTTCAAACTATATTTTTCTCGAATAAGATGTGTTATAGACCTCAACCACACACATTTTCGACTTGCTTCATGAATAGCAATTATCTCAACATGATTAGATGAAGTAGCCACAATTGACTGCTTAGTCGATCGCCAAGATATGACAGTGCCTCTACATGTAAACACATAACCTGTTTGAGATTGAGCCTTGTGTGGGTCAGGTAAATACCCAGCATCGGCATAACTAACAAGATCCGGGGCTGTAATCGTTGCCGTAAAACAAGCCCATATCGGTAGTCCCTTTCAAATATCGCAATATGTGTTTGATTCCATTCCAATGTTGTGACGATCTGACCGGTCATTTTGAGTATTTGAGCCCCGTTTCCCCTTTTGAAGCTTCTCGTATATGTATTTGTAGTTTTATGACTTGCGGGGATGGTTAATTTCGTTTCGGGGAGGTCTTGGGTTGATTTAGACTATTTAATTTGGTTCTTGGTTTAGAAGCTTAAGTTAAAAATATTGACCGAAGTTTGACTTTTGTGAAAACGAACCTGGAACGGTGTTTTGATGGCTCCAATAGGTTCGTATTCGTGAAAATGATCCGAAAGTTGGCAATTTGAGGTTTATAAGTTTCTCTAAGTTTGACCGTAGGTTGACTTTGTGGCTATCGGGTTCGGAATTTTATTTTGGAACTTGAAATAGGTCTGCTTTTCTATTTGGAACTTGTCTGCAAAATTTGGTATCAATTGGAGTTGGTTTGATATGATTCAGATGCTTGATTGCAATTCTAGAGGTTCTTGAATTTTCGTTTGAAATTCATGCGTTTTGATATCCGATTCGTGGTTCTAGATGTTATTTTGGTGTATGATCGCGCGAGTCGGTTCGTATGATGTTGTTAGACTTGTGTGGATATTTGGTTTGAAGCCTCGAGGGCTCGGGTGTGTTTCATACGTGTTTTGGAACGGTTTGGACTCATTTCCAAGTGGCCGGTGTGCTGATGCCTCAAGTGTCGCAATTTTGAGCACCGTCATCGCAATTGCGATCATAGCATGGGGCCTCAAAACTCGCATTTACGATACCTGAATCGCATTTGCGGAGAAGTACCTGGGCTGAGTAGTTTCGCATTTGCGAGGGGATCAAGCTTCGCAAATGCGAAGTCAATGTCGCATTTACGACTTCCTTATTAGGCTGTCAGGCGCCGCAATTGCGAACCCGGTGTCGCAATTGCGACATCTGCACCTGAACAAAAGGGCTGGAAAGTCGGGATTTGATCTCGTTCTCTCATTTTAGAATCCTAGACTCGGTAGGAGGCGATTTAGAGAGAGTATTTTCACCTACAATCATTGGGTAAGTTGTTTCGATCGATTTTCAACTATATTACATAATTATATATAAGATTTAACATGAAACTATGAAAGAGAAATTTTGTCTATATTTTGAAAAATGACAATTTGAGATTTGAGAGTCGAATTGGACTCGAATTTGAAAACAACACACATATATAGACTTGTGGGATTATGGGTAGTCAGGATCTACGCTTGGACACAGGTTTTGACCGGATGAGCCCGGGATTAACTTTTGTTGACGGTTGACGAATTGTGTAAAGATCTTAACTTTATTAATCGAAATTGATCTCTCTTGCATTGTTTGATGATATTAAATCATTTTTGGTTAGATTTGAGCAGTGTAGAGGCGAATTTTAAGTGAAAGCTATTTTTGAGTGTTGATTTGGCCTAGTTGAGGTAAGTATCTTGCCTAACTTTGTGTGGGAAAACTACCCCCTTAGGATTTGGGTTGCTTGTACTATTTGAATTATGTGGAAGACGTGTTCATGAGGTAACGAGTGTATACAAGGCTCATATGTTGCATTTGACCGGTTTAGAATCTTATGTTACTTATAAGCACTTAATTGAAGTTATTATTGATTGTAATATCTTTCGTAGTCAGTTTTATTCTTGCATGCCTTAATTGAAATTGTTATTATATCTTCTAGTTTTCATTGTCAAGGTTACTGTTATATGCATTTGATTGTAGTTGTTATTTCATGTTATTTCTTTCGTTATTAAGCTTATGCTACTACTTGAATTGGAAGTTGCCATTTCATGGGAATACCTTCATTGTTGAGTTATTGAGGTTGTAGTTGTAAAAGCTATTAACACTTTATGGTTGAAGTGTTGATTGTTTGGGTCATTCTTCCTTGTCGAGTTGTTTCGCTTTTATTTTGTTATTATTGAGATTCTTATATACATTGTTGTTGAGTCGTGGGCTATGTGTTGTGGTAACATTGTTATTATTGATTTGGTAATATTGTGGCATATGGGCACATATGGTGCGATTTGATTGTTGTGTTGTGATATTGATACACATTCGGTGGTATAAGGGTGTGTATTGAAATGCATGCGGTGAGATTTATACGCATGTTGCTAGTAAAGGAATTACTTGAAGCCACACAGTGAGATAAGGGGGCTAAAGGGCGTGTAACTATTTCAAAAAAAATATATTTTTAAAATAAATGCAAGGATCACACGACGATATAAAGAAGATTGTGATTGTGACTTGTGAAATGAGAATATGAGGTATGGTACCTTGATTGTGATTCTTGTTGTACATTCTATGTTCAAAAGGCTTGTTGATTTGAATGATTATTATCTTTCCTTCATTGTTTCACTTGCATTTTTACGGTACTTGATCACTTGTTCCAACCAATGTTCACTCTTTGTTTCCCTTTATTGCCTGAATTTTTGTTGCTAGCCTTATATCATTGTACTGTTCTATTGTCATCTATTTTTTTTTGCTTTCCGTTTATAGATTATGATATATTCTGTTCAGGTTTGTATGTCTAGTATGTGTCGTGACCTGGCCTCGTCCCTACTCTACCGAGGTTAGTCTTGATACTTACTAGGTACTGTTGTGGTATACTCATGCTATGCTTCTGCATATTTTTGTGCAGATTCAGGTACTTCTGCTCATGCCGGACGCCAGTGAGTTGACCCAGTTACTTCGGAGACTTAGAGGTATACCTGCTTGGTGCTCGCAAGCCTCTGAGTCACCTTCTTCTATTGACTTACTGATGTTTACCTTTATTTCAAATAAAGTTGTATTTAGAGAATACTAGTGCATTTTTTGTAGAGCTTATAATCCAGTAATATTGTGACTATTGTACCGTTTGGATTTTCGTATGATAGTTACTAGTTTAATTTGATATCTAAATCGTTATTTCTACTAAATTCTCAATGTATGTTAGGCTTATTTAGTCTTAGAGACTAGGTGCTATCACGACATCCTAAGGAGGGAATTTGGGGTCGTGATAAGTTGTATCATAGCTCTAGGTTCATAGGTCCTACGAGTCATAAGAATGTTTAGTAGAGTCTTGTGGATCGGTACAGAGACATCTGTACTTATCTTTGAGAGGCTACGAAACTCTTAGGAAATTTTTGCTTCTTTTAATCCTTATCGTGCGAATTTGTTGATTTCAAAATCAGAGACCTTGTCTTTCTATTCTCTCATAGACGATGAGGACATGCACTGCTGGATCAGATGATCAGACACCCGCGCCCCCTACTAGATCCGCGAGAGATCGGGTTTGGGGTAGAGGCCGAGGAGGGCACATGCTGCAACTAGAGCACTTGCCCAAGTAGCGACAGAGGAGCCACCAACGGCTCTGGTTAGGGGACAGGCACCTGTTGTTACCCCTGGACATTAAGAGACCCTAACACACTCCCTGAGTATGTTCGATACCCTAGCTTAGGCAGGATTGATCCCGGTTGCTCCAGCTACATCTGAGGCTGGGGGAGGAGCTCAGACTCCTGCGGCCCCTACTCCAGAGCAGCGGGTCCATATTGATCAGGTTTCAGATGTCATACCAGCACAACCCGTTATTTTGGTTCAGCCTGAGGTCAGGCCAGAGGCATCTCAGAAGGAGTAGAGGAGACTTGAGAGGTTCAAGAAGTATGATCCTCCTACTTTCAGCAGCGCGGTTACTGAAGAAGCATAGGGTTTTCTGGATAAGTGCCATCGTATTCTTCGCACCATGGATATTGTGGAGGTGAAAGGAGTTGCCTTTACTATATTTCAT